TTTTTTTACTTTTTTGATCTTTTTTACTTTTTTGACTTTTTTGACTTTTTTTGACTTTTTTGACTTTTTTGACTTTTTTGACTTTTTTGACTTTTTTGACTTTTTTTACTGTTTTTTGACTTTTTGAATTTCTTGTACTTTTTTTTTACTTTTTTGATCTTTTTTACTTTTTTGACTTTTTTGACTTTTTTTGACTTTTTTGACTTTTTTGACTTTTTTGACTTTTTTGACTTTTTTTACTTTTTTGACTTTTTTTGACTTTTTTAACTTTTTTTTGACTTTTTTGACTTTTTTACTTTTTTGACTTTTTTACTTTTTTGACTTTTGAATTTTTTGACTTTTTTGAATTTTTTGACTTTTTTTCTTTTTTGACTTTTTTGACTTTTTTTACTTTTTTTACTTTTTTACTTTTTTTACTTTTTTTACTTTTTTTACTTTTTTTACTTTTTTTACTTTTTTTACTTTTTTTACTTTTTTTACTTTTTTTACTTTTTTGACTTTTTTGACTTTTTTGACTTTTTTGACTTTTTTGACTTTTTTGACTTTTTTGACTTTTTGACTTTTTTGACTTTTTTAACGACCTAACGACTTGAGCCATGAAGGCTTACCCAAGTTCTAAAATTTTGTAAATTTGCCTTACTCAACTGAGTACCAGAAAGTGTCAGTAGCTCCCCCCTACCATTAACATCTTTTGTATTTTGTATCGATAATATTTACCCATATTTATCCATGGGATTAGCGCAAATGAGAAAATTAGTCTTTTTGGTATGTAAAGGCTAATTTAAGAACAAAAAAATAATCAAAGGTTTATTATAGCCAAGGTTATCTTAATCAAAAAACCCAAATGGTACATTTCACTCCAAAACTATCTGCTAAAATAAATATTGTTAAAAAAATGTAACATCGAAAAATATCTTTTTGACCTCTGGAAATGCGAAAAAGTTATGTTTGTAACTAGAACAGTCTCTTGGTTATGGGGTGTATTTTCTCTAAAGGCAGATAAACATGTATAGCTTTTTACTGTTAATGTTTATGGTATGGAAAGGTTAGTGATTTTTGTAAATAATTTGACGTATAAACCTAGCCAAAAGTGTTGTAGTAGCAATAAATGTAAAACAGTTACTTCAGTCGTTTTATTTTCATTCAACCACTGACAATCTCCAATTCCCCCACGCGAAATAAGAATTCAGAAGAAAAATTTTACGTGTTACGTAATACGTAATACGTAATACGTAATACGTAATACGTAATACGTAATACGTAATACGTAATACGTAATACGTAATACGTAATACGTATTACGTAATACGTAATACGTAATACGTAATACGTAATACGTAATACGTAATACGTAATACGTAATACGTAATACGTAATACGTAATACGTAATACGTAATACGTAATACGTAATACGTAATACGTAATACGTAATACGTAATACGTAATACGTAATACGTAATACGTAATACGTAATACGTAATACGTAATACGTAATACGTAATACGTAATACGTAATACGTAATACGTAATACGTAATACGTAATACGTAATACGTAATACGTAATACGTAATACGTAATACGTAATACGTAATACGTAATACGTAATACGTAATACGTAATACGTAATACGTAATACGTAATACGTAATACGTAATACGTAATACGTAATACGTAATACGTAATACGTAATACGTAATACGTAATACGTAATACGTAATACGTAATACGTAATACGTAATACGTAATACGTAATACGTAATACGTAATACGTAATACGTAATACGTAATACGTAATACGTAATACGTAATACGTAATACGTAATACGTAATACGTAATACGTAATACGTAATACGTAATACGTAATACGTAATACGTAATACGTAATACGTAATACGTAATACGTAATACGTAATACGTAATACGTAATACGTAATACGTAATACGTAATACGTAAAATACGTAATACGTAATACGTAATACGTAATACGTAATACGTAATACGTAATACGTAAAATACGTAATACGTAATACGTAATACGTAATACGTAATACGTAATACGTAATACGTAATACGTAATACGTAATACGTAATACGTAATACGTAATACGTAATACGTAATACGTAATACGTAATACGTAATACGTAATACGTAATACGTAATACGTAATACGTAATACGTAATACGTAATACGTAATACGTAATACGTAATACGTAATACGTAATACGTAATACGTAATACGTAATACGTAATACGTAATACGTAATACGTAATACGTAATACGTAATACGTAATACGTAATACGTAATACGTAATACGTAATACGTAATACGTAATACGTAATACGTAATACGTAATACGTAATACGTAATACGTAATACGTAATACGTAATACGTAATACGTAATACGTAATACGTAATACGTAATACGTAATACGTAATACGTAATACGTAATACGTAATACGTAATACGTAATACGTAATACGTAATACGTAATACGTAATACGTAATACGTAATACGTAATACGTAATACGTAATACGTAATACGTAATACGTAATACGTAATACGTAATACGTAATACGTAATACGTAATACGTAATACGTAATACGTAATACGTAATACGTAATACGTAATACGTAATACGTAATACGTAATACGTAATACGTAATACGTAATACGTAATACGTAATACGTAATACGTAAAATACGTAATACGTAATACGTAATACGTAATACGTAATACGTAATACGTAATACGTAATACGTAATACGTAATACGTAATACGTAATACGTAATACGTAATACGTAATACGTAATACGTAATACGTAATACGTAATACGTAATACGTAATACGTAATACGTAATACGTAATACGTAATACGTAATACGTAATACGTAATACGTAATACGTAATACGTAATACGTAATACGTAATACGTAATACGTAATACGTAATACGTAATACGTAATACGTAATACGTAATACGTAATACGTAATACGTAATACGTAATACGTAATACGTAATACGTAATATTCTCATAAATATATAACATAGATTACGTTAGATAAATTGGAATAAATATGAACGTGTTTTTTTTAAATAAATTCTAACATAAAATATTAAAAAGTTTTTATTATAATTACCTCTACAAATAGTAATGACACTAAATAATATTAAAAACGTATAATATAATCATTGAAAGTAGTAACAATATAAATAATTCAGATAACACAAATAATATTGTATAATATTGATAAAATTAATATAATTAATAGTAATAAAATCTTTTTTTGAGAAACAGTTGTACATTATATTCAACTAATGACTTTACAGTGTAATGGTATATATCTACGATACCGTTATTTTTCTCCCATCTCTAATATCCCATCTCCTTTCTCGGTGTTACTGTTCTGTTTTCTATCAATCGATAACCATTTTTTACATAGTCATTTAAAGTAAAGGTTTTATTATAGAATTCCAGAATCATTAATTGTCGATTAATTTAATTTGGATTCTGCAGATGGGACTCTAGAGGTGAAAGAAAAATAACAATGTTCTACCGTTACAGAAATATTACATACACGGGCTTTATCCAAAATTAAATAAAATTTTGGACAATTAATATGTTCATTTATTAACAATATTTCTGTTAATTTTGATAGGTATTTGTCAAAAATGTACTTCTGTTCAACTGTTTTTCATATACAGGGTGGTCCATAACTAATTATACAAAGAACAACAGAGGCTTCATTCTGACTTCAAAACATTTTGATTGAAACAAATTACTCCAACGTTTGCTCCGTTATTTAATAGTCCATTATATTGTGATCGTCTTCTACAATACAGGATTTTTCAGTAATCTGTTTCCTTGGTCATTTTAACCAACTGAAATTTGAAATGTATACTTAAAAAATATGTACATATCATTTTTGAATTGATGATACTATTTTGCTTCGTATATTACTTACTGATTGATCACCCTGTAGTTACATAAATATCAACCAGCACAGCTCTCATTTTATATGTACACGTAATTGACTTATATTCACACCTTACCTTCCTAAATGTAATAATACTAAGTATCATGGTAATCCTTAAGTCTTAAGAGTTTAAAATGTTTATCATACAATCGTCTATACAATTCCTTATAATTAAATATGGATAAATTTGATTGATAAAATGGGAATAAAATTATTTATTTCTGACCAAATCAGTACAAACTGTTATTATTATGTAATGAAAGTGAGAAAGTATTGCGTATTTAATAAACACACTGTATATATTATACAAACTACCCCCGAATTATGGGATTTTGTCAGCAAAACTTGAAAAAACTGTTTGACATATTGGTCGATATTGGAGAATTAGGGGTAGATAACTAGATAGAATTATTGTAAATAAAAGAAGCATGATATCACTGCACATACATCTCAGTAAAAATATAAATAAACATGAGAATGAGTTTCATCTCCCCCCAAAGAAAAAGGATATCTATTTACTCTAACTCCATCGATGAACTGATGATTGATAAACGATGATCGATGAACGATGATCAATGAACGATGAACGATGATCGATGAACGATGATCGATGATCTATGAACGATGAACGATGAACGATGAACGATGAACGATGAACGATGAACGATGAACGATGAACGATGAACGATGAACGATGAACGATGAACGATGAACGATGAACGATGAACGATGAACGATGAACGATGAACGATGATCGATGATCGATGAACGATGAACGATGATCGATGAACGGTGATCGATAAACGATGAACGATTATCGATGAACTATGTTCGATCAACGATCAAATAAGATTGATGAACGATCACCAATGAACGACGATCGATGAACGATATTCGATGAACGATAATGGCTAAACGATAATCTATGAACCATCACCAATGAACGACAATCGATGAAAGATGATCGAATAACGATGATCGATGGTCGATGATCGATGAATGAAGATCGATGAACGAAGATCGAAGAACGAAGATCGAAGAACGAAGAACGAAGAACGAAGAACGAAGAACGAAGAACGAAGAACGAAGAACGAAGAACGAAGAACGAAGAACGAAGAACGAAGAACGAAGAACGAAGAACGAAGAACGAAGAACGAAGAACGAAGAACGAAGAACGAAGAACGAAGAACGAAGAACGAAGAACGAAGAACGAAGAACGAAGAACGAAGAACGAAGAACGAAGAACGAAGAACGAAGAACGAAGAACGAAGAACGAAGAACGAAGAACGAAGAACGAAGAACGAAGAACGAAGAACGAAGAACGAAGAACGAAGAACGAAGAACGAAGAACGAAGAACGAAGAACGAAGAACGAAGAACGAAGAACGAAGAACGAAGAACGAAGAACGAAGAACGAAGAACGAAGAACGAAGAACGAAGAACGAAGAACGAAGAACGAAGAACGAAGAACGAAGAACGAAGAACGAAGAACGAAGAACGAAGAACGAAGAACGAAGAACGAAGAACGAAGAACGAAGAACGAAGAACGAAGAACGAAGAACGAAGAACGAAGAACGAAGAACGAAGAACGAAGAACGAAGAACGAAGAACGAAGAACGAAGAACGAAGAACGAAGAACGAAGAACGAAGAACGAAGAACGAAGAACGAAGATCGAAGATCGAAGAACGAAGATCGAAGAACGAAGATCGATGAACGAAGATCGATGAACAAATATCGATGAACGACGATCGATAAACAACGATCGACGATTAATGAACAACCATCGATGAACGAGGAATGATAATCGTGGAACAATAATCGTGGAACGATAGTTGAACGACGGTCGATGAACGACGGTCAATCAATGACGATCGACGATTGATAAACGACAATCCATGATCGATGAACGACGAACAATGAACAAGGAACGATAATCGAAGATCGTCAAATTTCGGCTAGAGTGAAGTAAATTAAAATATGCCAGTATTATTAAAAATAAAGTAAGAAAAAATGACACAAGTCTAAATAAGACATTATGGTTGGAAAGGACTTTATGAAAATGATGAACTATACTTTTTTGGAAGATTCTGGTAACTCAACATGTAATGAGATGAAAATATATTTTTTTATAGGTTTTTTTTGTTAATGTTATCAAAACAAACTTATTGTTTATTGTCAAAAAAGATTTAACCATTTATAAAATGCAGGATTACAGAAAATAAGAACTTTAAAAATAAAAATACTCAAAAATATATATGTTTGAGTTGCGTCACTATTCTTATGTACCAACAAATATGATATATATGGCTGACAAAGTATTCCTATAATACATGTAAAAAAGACGAGTGGTGGGTGTACATTTGTTAAAATTATTGTTTACAAGAACAGTGACGCAACTCAAAAATTTCCGTTTTCGAGTCTATTGTGAAAACGTATCAGCATATTTTTACGTGAAACAACGACACATTGCTACTTGATGATATATATGACATAAAATATTCCTATATTACAAGTAAAAAAAAGTGATCGGTGGTCAATGTGTTAAAATTGATGTGTACAAGAACAGTGACGCAACTCAAAAATTACTATTTTTAAATCTATTGAGGAAATGTCTAACAAAATTCGCAAATTTTTATGAGGAAGAACGACATATTGCTACTTGCAAAAGTGATCGCTAAAAATCAGTTGTGTCGTTCTTCCCATAATACAAAGTCACGAGTTTATAATGATGAAAACTAACTCAAACCTAGTTGTACTTCAACAGATAATGAGACAAGATCGTCAATTTTCAACTAGAGTGACATAAATCAAAATATGTAAGTTTTATTAAAAATAAACTAGGAGCATTATTTTCAACAAATGTCACAAGTCAAAATAAGAGTTCGTTATGAAAATGGTGTAAAATATACTTTTCTGGCACATCGTCATAACTCAAAAAAGAGACGAAAATATAATATTTTTGAGTTTTTTCCTAATGTTATCAAAACAAACATTATTGTTTAAACATATTTAAAATGCAAGATCCCTACAGAAATCAGGAAATTGGAAGCTTTCGAAAATATATTATGTATTCGAGTTGTGTCATTGTTCTTGTGAATATTACGGTAAATAACAAAGAAAGGACGATTATAGATACCTAAGTGCTAATACAAACCAAGTCGATGATTTGTTTTTTTATAAAAATTTACGTTCAAGAATTTTTAAAGATGTATCGTTTTCATATGACAAATCTTATTAATTACCCAATCTCTCATCCTATTAAGATTTTTAAAACTGCAGCAAATTTGGTTCTGGTTAGCTCACATTATGTTCGTAATAACTGCGAAGTGTGAAAAAATCGGTAGATAGAAAGGTAGAAAAATTACATTCTAACAAAACTGCTCGTCAATTCCCCAAAATTAGAATCTTTCAATTGCATCGCCTTCACCGAAAGTGATTAATATGTCCGTATTTACAAAGGTATTAACTACTGATCAGTCAGTTTTTTTGTTATAATTGTTGGGGCATATATCGCCGTTCCGATGCGGTATTTTTTCCTCCGAACTCAAACTGAAGAAATTCGCAAACTCCGCCTTCTTCTGAGCATACTGGACGAAGTTATCTGAAACACAACATGACACTGTTAGAATAATTTAAGAACAGAATTAAAAATTAAAGCATATTGGTAAAAATATAAATGACAGATGACAGGCGATATATGACAGATATGTATGTGTTCAACTCACATACTTTGATTACTATAAGGTGCAAGAGAGAGGTCCGACACGCCCAACATAGGGAGCGGCCATTTTGATTCCTATGTCACAGTTTATAGCTAAAGAATCAGATCGCTCACTCTGCGTCGGCACTTTTTTCTCAATATTCCAGTTTATACACTGCGCAACTCGGATAATACAATATATGACAACCGCCTATAATAAAACAGCAGTCTTCTTCGTATCCTGAATTTGTATCCCTGGAGTGGATGTTATTTTGGGACTTTCAACTGGTCCGAGTGAGCTAACTGATTCTTTAGCAATAAACTGTGACTCCAAAAATAATATTCACTGACACTGACAGCAGCAAGCAAAATATCAGGTGCGTTTTAATCATTCGCTTCTGCTTCCTGAATTGTCGGTTTAGTCGTTTTAACCTGTGAGATTAAAACAAGAAAAGGGATCAAAATGGCGGAGTTTTCTATCTCCTTTTGAAAGGCACTCAGAAAGCTGCGCAGTGCAACCATTCTCCGTATAGTAAAAGAAAATCAAAGTATGTGGTTCAACTAGAAAGATGACAAAATGTAGATGATAGACGATAAAAGGCAGATGAGATAAAACAGAGATGAAAAAAGACGTAAGACAAAAGATAGATGACAATACAGATGAAAAAAGTTAGATTGACAGATGACAAAAGACATCTGACAGATGTGCCCAACTAGATGACAGACGACGTATTATGCCGTATGTGTTCAATTTCATTACAAACAATATGTACTTAATGATTATTTGATCAAAAATTAGTAAATTTGATTCAAAATTTAGCTAAATATTGGTGTATTTTGGTACGTATTAAATTTCTTACCATAAGTGATGTAACCTAATCTATTTCTGTCTACTTGTTCGAAAACTTCTAAGGCGTACTCTTTATTTAAGGCTAACGTTTGACATACGGCTTTACAGAAGTCTTCTGGTGATAAGCGGCCGAATCCACTCTTGTCATATATCTAAAAAAAAAAGGAAGAAGAATAATATGAGTATCATTAGATTTGTTCCAACAGCTAATCTAATTATTAGAAGGACCTCATACACAAAACTTTAAACAGAATATCTCGGAAACGGTAAGAGATAGAGTAAAATGACCAGTGGGTTTTAGGGCAGACCCCTAAATGAAGTACGATTTTAATGTTTAACGCACAACGCATACAAAACGACGCACAACTCACACAAAATACACAACGCACATAAATCAAAGCACAACGCACACAAAACAACGCATAAAACACACAAAACAACGCACACAAAACATCGTACAACGCACACAAAACAACGCTCTCTTTTTGAAGCTCTCTTTTTGACGTCTTCTTTCTGACTCTCTCTTTCTGACGTTCTCTTTCTTTTTGACCCTCTTTCTTTTTGACGCTCTCTGTTTTTGACGCCTTCTCTTTTTGAGGCTCTCCCATTCTGACGCTCTCTCTCTCTCTGACTTTTACCCGTTTTTCAGTTAGAAAATTAGTTCTTCTGTATATATACTGAGAGACAAGAGAGGCCGCTGTAGTGGCCAAGCACATATGCAGCAGAAATCGGTTAAGGTGGGCCGTAAATACTTTTGAACCGTTTAAGTCTCCAGGTGTGGATGGAATATTTCCTGCCCTGCTTCATCAGGTACAGGAGGAATTACTACCACACATAATCCGGCTATCCCGGAGCAGTCTGGAGCTGGGATATATACCAGAAGCATGGAGAAGGGCCAGAGTCACCTTTATTCCAAAAGTAGGGAAAAAGGATACCACACATCCTAAATCTTTCCGTCCAATCAGCCTCACATCCTTTGTATTAAAAACAATGGAGAAGGCTGTTGATAACTATATCAGAACAGAAGTCCTGGAGAGGGTGCCACTCCACCACAGCCAACTTGCGTACCGAGCAGAAAGATCTACAGAAACTGCCCTGGTACAGTTGACTGATGTAATCCAGGATGCACTGACAAACAAAGAAACGGTCGTGTGTGCCTTTCTAGACATAGAAGGAGCTTTTGACAACACGTCACACGAATCTGTAAAAAGAGCACTTGCATACAGAGGAGTAGATAACATCACATCCAGATGGATGGCTCAGCTGTTATCTACGAGAACTGCAGAGACACAGATAGGTCAGGACACCATCTCCATCTGCACAACCAGAGGATGTCCACAAGGAGGAGTTCTATCCTCACTAATGTTGAGCCTAATCGTAGACGAACTTCTATGCAGATTGACTGACCTCGGCATACCCTGTCAAGGTTATGCCGACGACATAGTCATATTTGCTAGTGGCAAGTTTAGTAATATCCTGTGTGATATAGTCCAAAGAGGACTAGAACATACCAAAAGATGGTGCCGTGAAGTGGGACAGTATAAACCCTACAAAAACAACACTAGTAGCCTTTTCAAGGAAAAGAAAACTTAATCTCAAAACCGTTAAATTAGACGGGATAGATATAGAATGGAAAAATGAAGTCAAATATCTAGGCCTAACCCTGGACAACAAACTTCTCTGGAACACACATGAGAAGGAAGTAGTAAATAAGGCCACAAACGCCCTAATGGTATGCAGAAACATGGCGGGTAAACGATGGGGATGTAACCCAAACATACTGCGATGGATGTATACTGCAATAGTGAGACCAATCATCACTTACGGGGCTATAGCCTGGAGTAACAGAACTAGTTTAGTTACTACGAGAGCTAATATCTCAAAAGTACAAAGACTAGCCTGTGTTTGCATTACTGGTGCAATGAGAACCTGTCCTACGGCCGCAATGGAGGTGATCTTAAACCTCACCCCTCTACATTTGATGATAGAGAATGTGGCAAAAAGGACACGATATAGAATGATCAGGAACGGAGTAATCAGACGAAAGTCTACTTGCTTCAGGACTAAAGATACCTGGGACATGCCCCAGGATGAAATGCAAAAGACGTACAGTTTTGTGAAAAACTTCAAAAACACAGAGCTGGGCTGCAAGAAAGAATGAAGCCAAGAATCCATCGCGCTTGCAACCGAAAGACGTGCTATTCAGTGGTATACGGACGGTTCCAAAACCATAGAAGGAACTGGAATAGGAGTGTATGGGCCGAGAACCAAGCACTCCGAAAGCTTGGGAAAATACCCAAGCATCTTCCAGGCGGAAATTCACGCCATCGAGAAGTGTATCCAGTTTAACATCGAGAGAAACTATCATAGACAAGAGATTATCATCATGTCCGATAGTCAAGCAGCCATCAAAGCGCTGAGTTCTTACGTAATCAGCTCAAAAATGGTATGGAGATGCCTAAAACAATTGAATGAGCTAGGCGAGAAAAATAGAGTTACTCTCACTTGGGTCCCGGGACATAACGGGGTACAGGGTAACGAGATTGCAGATAGTCTTGCAAGGAAAGGGGCTCAAACACCCTTTGTAGGACCTGAGCCGTTCTGCGGCATCAGCAGTAACATAATATTAGGAGAGATTAAAAAAGAATTGGGTAGTAGAAGAACCGATAATTGGAACAATCTCTTAGGGCTGAGACAGGCCAAGATACTTCTGGGTGAATATAACCAAAAAATATCGGAAGCCTGCATCTGCCTGAGCAAGAACAGGCTACGTATTGTAACAGGGATCCTTACCGGGCACTGCCGACTAAAAGGACACCTAAGTAAACTGAGAGTAGTAGAGGATAGTGAGTGCAGATTCTGTGAGGAGGAGGACAAGACCTCCATTCACATCCTAACTGAATGTGTAGCACTCCAGAATCCAAGGGCACTATATCTAGGAGGATATCAAATAGAAAAGGGAGACTTACCTAACTTGAAGCCACTTCAAATCCTACACTTCCTTGAGAAAATAGGATTGGAAGGGTCGCTATAGGCATTGAGACATTTCCTTAGTGCAGTGGCGACCGAAGGGGGCACAATAGATCTTTTAGGTCGCAGTGTATTAACACCCCATTATCAACATAACATAACATATATACTGATTAAAGTGTATTGTTTGTGCCCTTAGTGCAGATAGTCTAAAATAAACGTGACCCATTGAATTTTTTATCTTCATCTGAAGCTACTTGAGTGCTTTTGACGCAATATCAAGAGTTAGTGGCATAAACTACTTCAAATAATCTGGCGCCCGAGTAACCGACCGTGTGGACATCATTTTGTAAGCGTATTTTCTCAAGAGGTTGAAAACAACCTTTATAAATCTGAACATACCATTTTTCGTAATTAAAGCTTAATTAATCTGCATTAACATACCTTACAAGCTATATGAAGTACATCCAAATGAGATAGGTCTTTTCCTATGCCTAAGACACCCAGTAAATATTCTCTGAAGTCTATTGCCCCTGAATGTTCCTAAAAACAAAAATATATGATTTTTTTGCGAAGTAAATTGTATACGTCAAATATATTTTATTTCAAAGGAATATTAATTGGACAATGAGCAGAAAATTGATCGGAAGGGAGGTTGAAAGGTATTAAAGATCGAACTTATAAAAGATCGAAATTAGAACAAATGATCGAAATCGCGTATGATCGCAATCAGATATGAACGAAATCATATATCTTTAAAAGTACTAATTGTTACGTTTTGGACGTCATAAATATATTAAACGAACAAGTTCTATTGAAATGGATTTAATTTTATCAATACAAGACAACCAGATATCGACTATTCAAGTTGGCGTTGGTACAGGGTTACCAACTTTTCAAATTTACTTACTTTGTCATATATTTTGAAGAGCTGCTGCGAATCTGGATTATTCAAAGGAATGTTCAGTAATTTCGTGAATTCAATGAAACTTATTTTGCTACAATCTTTGCATACTAAATTCGAATTGATAAGGTTTTCTTCGTTTTTCGTATTTCGTAATCTATAAGAAAAAGACACGGTTGATAATTATTAATAGTTTACATAAATAAATAAATATATATAAAAATTATTTCAGTTAAATACACTTGAGAAGAATTCTGTTAAGGTTGTTTTCGGTGATTATTGCTTTAATACCAATGAAAGGTATTTATAAGATTCTATAAAATATTGAAAAATTACAAATTAAATAAAGTTTAGAATTGATAAATAATAAATATCAAGTTCTTGTTATACGAAAATATTAAGTATATAAAAAAATATAATAAACAATAATAAATGAAAACAATTATGCATAAATCATTATAAGTACAAATTAAATTAAGAAATACCTAGGTAAGAAAATATATAAAAATATTATTATAAGGTTGGTTTTGTAATCTTTCTTTTAATAGATGCAAGAGCATTTGAGAAATTTTGCTCATAGAAAAATGAAAAGTAGATACCCATAATTGTAACTTACCCTAGTCGATTGCGTAACTTATTCACTTCGACCAAAGAGGGAGCATATGGTAGATTCATTTCTTTGGCTTTTGCCATCAGTAGGCAGTCATCATAACAATAATCGATCACTGGAATACCCAGAGCTCTAAAACAAGATTTAGAATTAGTAAAAAAAGAATAATTTCGATAAAAACAGAGATAAATAGAGATAAATAGAGATAAATAGAGATAAATAGAGATAAATAGAGATAAATAGAGATAAATAGAGATAAATAGAGATAAATAGAGATAAATAGAGATAAATAGAGATAAATAGAGATAAATAGAGATAAATAGAGATAAATAGAGATAAATAGAGATAAATAGAGATAAATAGAGATAAACAGAGATAAATAGAGATAAATAGAGATAAATAGAGATAAATAGAGATAAATAGAGATAAATAGAGATAAATAGAGATAAATAGAGATAAATAGAGATAAATAGAGATAAATAGAGATAAATAGAGATAAATAGAGATAAATAGAGATAAATAGAGATAAATAGAGATAAATAGAGATAAATAGAGATAAATAGAGATAAATAGAGATAAATAGAGATAAATAGAGATAAATAGAGATAAATAGAGATAAATAGAGATAAATAGAGATAAATAGAGATAAATAGAGATAAATAGAGATAAATAGAGATAAATAGAGATAAATAGAGATAAATAGAGATAAATAGAGATAAATAGAGATAAATAGAGATAAATAGAGATAAATAGAGATAAATAGCGATAAATAGAGATAAATAGAGATAAATAGAGATAGATAAATAGAGATAAATAGAGATAAATAGAGATAAATAGAGATAAATAGAGATAAATAGAGATGAATAGAGATAAATGGAGATAAATAGAGATAAATAGAGATAAATAGAGATAGAGATAGAGATAAATAGAGATATATAGAGATAAATAGAGATAAATAGAGATAAATAGAGATAAATAGAGATAAATAGAGATAAATAGAGATAAATAGAAATAAATAGAGATAAATAGAGATAAATAGAGATAAATAGAGATAAATAGGGATAAATAGAGATGAGATAAATAAAGATAACTAGAGATAAATAGAAATAAATAGAGATAAATAGAGATGAGATACATAGAGATACAAAAAAATTAAAATAAATAAAGACAAATAGAGATAAATAGAGATACATAGAGATACATAGAGATACATAGAGATACATAGAGATACACAGAGATACATAGAGATAAACATAGATAAATAAATAGATATATAGATAAATAGAGATGACATAAATAGAGATGAGATAAATAGAAATAGAGATAAACAGAGATAAATAGAGACATATAGAGAAAAACAGATAAAAATAATTAAATAGAGAAAAATAGAGTTAAATAACTATATATACTGTTAAATAACGATAAATAACGATAAATAACGATAAATAACGATAAATAACGATAAATAACGATAAATAACGATAAATAACGATAAATAACGATAAATAACGAATAAATAACGATAAATAACGATAAATAACGATAAATAACGATAAATAACGATAAATAACGATAAATAACGATAAATAACGATAAATAACGATAAATAACGATAAATAACGATAAATAACGATAAATAACGATAAATAACGATAAATAACGATAAATAACGATAAATAACGATAAATAACGATAAATAACGATAAATAACGATAAATAACGATAAATAACGATAAATAACGATAAATAACGATAAATAACGATAAATAACGATAAATAACGATAAATAACGATAAATAACGATAAATAACGATAAATAACGATAAATAACGATAAATAACGATAAATAACGATAAATAACGATAAATAACGATAAATAACGATAAATAACGATAAATAATGATAAATAACGATAAATAACTATAAATAATGATAAATAACGATAAATAACTATAAATAATGATAAATAACGATAAATAACTATAAATAACGATAAATATAACGATAAATAACGATAAATAACGATAAATAACGATAAATAACGATAAATAGCGATAAGCTCTTAAATAAAAATAGGGAAATATTTGTTTTATATTAATTTGATATTACATATTAATTTAATAAAATCAACATATATACCCTTCTTCAAGATCAAAAAGTAGCTCAGTTACTTTTATTTGTTTCAAATTCTTGATAAGTTTGTATTTTGGAAAATTTGTATTTTTATATATCTTTATTTTGTATTTCTAAATTCTTTAATTTTATTTCTACAGGGTGAATTTTTAGTTCCTATTTTTTTAATTGTGTATGAAATTATATATGTATTAAAAAATACACAACTTTTTCAAAAAAACTCAAAATGTATCTAATATAGATAAATATAGACAGACTTATTAATATGTTTAATTCTTTGTACACAAGTTCAGGCGCAGATTTAAATTTATTAATTCTTGAGTTTTTAAAAATTCATTTGAAAAAGATGTTTATTTTAACGAGATCTATACACAGTAAAAAGGGTATTGGCTTAGGATTCACCCTGTATATTATTCTAGATATAATTTAAAAAAATTGATACAAAACTTTTTGAAATAAACTTTGTCTAAGCTGGTTTTAAATAAAAATATATATTGTATAAATGAATAAATTTGAAAAAGTGCTAAAAAGAATGTTTGAAAACGTCTAGTTTTTTTGATAAATTACTTACTTGGCCATAACTGCTCTGACATTCTTCGCAAACAGTTTTGGATCACGTTTTTCTTCTTCACTAGGATTGTATACAGGCAGAAATTCAATTTCGCAGTTGCTGTAAGGTTGGGTTAACGTCAACCATAATAATTTTAATCTGTAATTTGAAATTTCACTATTAAACTATACTGTTCTTAAATTTTACGTGAGTTTTAAGAAGCTTTGATATTTTTTATTTATCTTTTTTTTAATAACTATATGATAGCGAAGTGTAAAAATTCAAAAATTCTAAAAACACAATTTTCAAATCGAATTTCGAGTTAAAAAATGGTCAATCCATAAAAAATCACAATGAAGATCGAAATTCAATTTAAAAATGTTTTTCTAATTTTTAAACTCTTCTAACCCATTATAAGTATTTTAGGGAATGGTCAAACGTCGAAACATAATTCTAGATCTTTATTGTACCGTTATATCTATTTCTCATTTTTTCCAAGTCGAAATTCGATATTGAAATTGTATTTTTTGAACTTTCAAACTCTTTGAGTTCAGTATAATTATTATATTACTAAAAAAGAGTATGTAAATAAACAATTTCTTCCTATTTTAACCATTTCTCAAGAAAATTAATTATTTATTTTTGGACCGTATCATACACTTATTATTTTTTATTTTATTTACTTTAATAATTTTAATTTTCATTTAAAAGCTTGAATAACTCGGAAAAAAACGGAAAGGTCTAATTATCTGAAAGTACCATAGCATTTATTTACTTACTTTCACTGTTTTAATGATTACAGGAAAATGACGAAATACGTTTGATACTAACTGTCCAATTAAACAGCTAACAATCATTTAGGAATTATTGTAATCATAATAATGATCGCTAGCGAAATTCAAATATTTTCTTTTGTTAATTTTACAGGAATACAAGAATACCAATTTACTCTAATTGGATACAACTGGTACGGGGTTATTTTTGTTTCTTATTAGGCCTTTTAGAAACTGCCTTACAACTACAATTAAATAAAACCCATTCTTATTATCAATAATAAAATGTTACTATAAAAAACCCAATTGTAAACAATAAGAAGAATACAATATAGACTAGAAAAAAAAATAATGAAAATTTTAAAATTGATCATCGTTCTTCTTTACCTTTTGTTGAACTCTATTTTGAAAAATGTTAAAGGGAATTCGGAAGACCCCTCGTTTTAGGTTATCATTATTAGGAGCTATGTATTGCAATAAATCCATTAGAAACTATATCATATAGTAATAGTATACTTACGCGCTAGGTCCTTCCCAGGTCCATGTTACAGTGTCTACTTTATTGGGGTAACGTATGCATACAGGTTGAATTGGAACACCTGGGTAGAAAGCACCTGAAACAAAAATTATATGAGTATCATCGATTTGTGATAGCAAAAATTGTTAATATCTGCAGGAGTTTTTGTTGTGAGGAATAGTACAAACCTAACAGCTAGTAGTATGTACCTAAACTTAGACAATATCCAGAAAGCCAAACAAATATTGTAATTAATGTGAATTATTTATCTCTAATGTCTGGCCCAATGGTGGCTCGTATCCAAAAAATTGGGGGTTGACAATGAGAGAATATAGGTCTCAGTACAGAATTAGGTAAAAAGCTTTCAGTGTTTTGGAAAGGTGTATTATAAAAATTTAAAGTTTTTTACCTAAATATGTACTGAGATCTATATTCTGTCATTGTGAACCCCCAATTTTTTGATCACGAGTCGCCACTGGTCTGGCCTAACTAATCAATGAAACAATTTGCAATAGTGTAACCTACCAAAAGGTCTAAACAACTTCCAAATGAGAATTACTTAAAATTAAACTTTATCAATAAAATCATGTCTACTTCAGTTACAAGTTTCAGTTGTTTCGGTGTTAACCTCCGGGCCTTCGACGTCGTGCAGACGGCAACTAGGGGGTGGATAGCTATTAAAAATTCCGGAAATAGTAGACAAATGAAAGGCGCCAACTATAGTCTATTTTTATGTATGAGAGAGTATTAAAATAATAAAGCGTTCGTAATCCATAGGCGTATCACTTGTTTTGGTAGACAGTTAAAATATTTTTTGAAGTTATTCCTCGAGTATACACTTATATTTTCACCTAATTAACCTGCTTATAACTCCTAAACAGCTGAAGGTAAAAAAGTGCAATTTTTTCTAAAATGTTTTATTTTTCCACAAGGTATGTTAAGAACATTGTGTCAAACGGGTTATGTAGGTATAAGGGTTTAAACTTTGACTTTTAAACAACGTTACGTTCATAAATAATAATTTTAATATAAAAACTACTTCTTACCTACAAATCCAAATCAGAATCGAAATCAGAAGATGAACTGTCGCAACCAATATTTACAATGAGTGGCTCGATCATTTCATCAGTAATATTGTCCAACTTCCACATTTTCTCTTCTTCTTTAATCGTATGATTTATTGCCTTTTCCCAGTTTTTAGGCTTCACATTATTTACAGCCTCCAAAAACAACTGTTTAACATCACTCATTTTAAAAGAATTATTTTTTCTTGAAACTTCTTCTTTTATCTGTGCCCATATCAGTTCAATCGGGTTTACTTCGCAATGATATGGTGGTGATCTAACCACCGTCATCCCACGATTTTTTGCAATTTCATAAATTTCATATTTTTTAAATGTCTTTATGAAGGGAACACAAATGATACAGTTCTTTTCTCACAGAACCGGGATGGAACTTAATATTCTTTGAGTTTAGCCAATTCTGTAAATCTTTTTTTAACCACTTGGTTGTGGGCATTTTTTCTATAAGTCTCGAGTGATAACTTGCATTATCCATTACTATTATACAGTTCTGAGGAAGAAGATCTATAATTTGTTCGAACCACTCTTTAAAGGCATCAGCATTCATGTCCTCATGGTAGTCACCGGTACGAGTAGATTCAAAAGTCAATAAACCACTTTTAACAAAACCGTTTGAACTACCGATGTGTACTATTATTAGTCTGCGCCCCTTTCCTGATGATGAATTTAAACCAGTAGATAAATTATTTAAAAAAGCCTGTCTTTGACTTGTAACAGTTTGATATTGTCAAAATTTATTTGGTTTATGTCCCTCGTTGATCCATGTTTCATCTAAATAAAATATATTTCTTCTTTGGTTTCTCATGTCTTTTATAGCTCTTAGGTAATTTATTCTCCATGCTACAATATCGCTTCTTTCTGAGGAATCATTTACTAATTTTTGTTCAGCTATACAAGAAACAGCTACTGACTTAAAACTATACACTGTAAATAGTGCCACACCCCTAAACACAAAAACACAAACTAATAAACCATGGTTTGACTTTTTATGTATTAATGCCAAAAAGAACATGAAAGAATCTTTAAAAATTTGTACAAGCAATAATTTTTCTGAAAATTCAAAACAAACTTACCTAAACTTAAAAGCAGAATACAAAAAAACCATTAAATTAAGGAAAAAAGAATACGAAGCTGAAATTATTATTAAATTATCCAATTTGAATGATCCCAAAGAATTCTGGCAGACAATTAAACAGTTCCGTAGCACATTAAATCGCAAAGTTCTGCCAATATGTATTTGGGAAAATTTTTACCAAAACATATATCCTCCTAGAACAACGTTGACTCTTACCTTTCAAGATGTCACCCACCCCTTTCTGGATGCTCCTTTCTGTACAAATGAAATTTATAAAGTCATTAATAATTGTAAAATTAATAAGTCTCCTGGATGTGATGGAATAACTTATGAGTTTTTTAAAAATCTTCCAAATAATTGGATTATTTATTTAATATCGTTATTTAATTCAATATTTGAAACTGCAGTTATTCCGAAATCTTGGTCTAACATTTTATTAGCTATGCTACATAAGGGGGGAGCGACAGATAATTCTGAAAACTATAGAGGATTAGCTCTGGTCAACTGTTGTGCTAAAATATTCACTTCCATTATTCTCAACAGACTGTCACAGTGGACTGATGAATGTAATATCCTTCCAGAATGTCAAGCTGGCTTTCGTTTAGGGCGAGGTTGTCAAGATAATGTCTTCACCTTAAGCAGTGTTATTAATTTACACATAAGGCATAAAAAGAGAAAATTGTTTGCAATTTTTGTTGATTTTAAAAGAGCTTTCGACTCAGTTGATCATGTGGATTTGTGGAACAAATTATTTCATGTAGGAGTGTCATCAAAAATTCTCCGTGTAATAAAAATGCTTTATTCGCACGCTACGGTACAAATAAAGGGATCTGATGGGCTATCCAAATCGTTTGAAGTGACAACGGGCATCCTACAGGGAGAACCTCTAAGTCCCTTATTATTTGCACTGTTTATAGCTGACTTTGATACCTTTTTTTATGAGAACGGTGCTCAAGGTATAAATATTGATGACAAAAATGATGTTTTGTCGCTAATATATGCTGACGACCTTGTCATTTTAGCGCACTCTGAGATTGATGTTGTTAAAAAGTTAAAAATTTTAGAAAAATATACTGTTGCTAATAAATTAAATGTTAATTTACAGAAAACAAAAATAATGCAATTTTCTAAGGGAGGTTTCAGGACGCCTAACTTTAATTTTTACTTTAACAACCAACTTATTTCTATAACTAATAAATATACATATCTAGGAGTAGTATTTACTTCATCTGGTCTTTTTAATGAAATGGCTCATTATACTGCCAACAAAGGTAAACAGGCTATAGGTTCTCTCCTTCCGATAATGTCGAAAGCTAAAATTAATACTTGGCATCCTAGAATCAAATTATTTGAGTCACTTGCCCTTAGTGTTATGTTTAATTGTATTTCTGTTTGGGGCCTAAGATACTTAGATGTATTGGAAAGAGTCCAGTTATATTTCCTTAAAAGAGTTCTTTTAGTTCCCATCACTACTCCTGATGCTATAATCCGTTTAGAGACTGGAAGAGTAAAGTTTGCATTTAATATTTTTAAAATGTCCCTTAATTGGATACAAAAAATAATGACAATGGATAATCATCGATATCCAAAGCTTTGTTTTAAACAACAATTGCGTTTGATCAACTCTACAGATATAAAGTATAACTGGATAGTACAGTTGTAAAAGTTCTTTGTTGATATTGATTGTGTTCATAAATGGAACAATTTAAACCATCCTTCTTTTAGTTCATATAGAAAAGAATTGTTTTCCAAGTATTTTACACATTTACATGATTCAGATGTTAGTATAGCGTCTCGCTATCCTTTTATGTATTTATATAATTATGTTCCTACATCTTGTGAACCAAGTACATACTTACTCTTTAAATTACCAATCCAGGTTACCCGTACTCTTGCTCAATTGCGTATGTCCAACCATTTTAGGATTAAATTTACATTAAATGGTATTAGTTATGTTATTGTACTGTGTGTAATACACATGAAAAAGAAACAATTTTTCACATACTTTTTGATTGCCCTATTTACTCAACAATGAAGCAAAATATCGCTTGCCTTGAAAATGTAAACTCATTGCTGCATACTTTACAAAATATAACAATTTTTGAAGCTAGGAAAATTGCTGAATATATTTGGAATATATTAAAATTGCGCTCTTTTGTACTGGAAGAATAATGTTGTTTTTATGTTTTAAGATCTAATTTTTTTATATCTGTACTCATTGCTGTAACTCAGGTTTAGAAGCAATAAATATTATTATTATTATTATTATTATTATTATATCGCTTCTTTCTATTAAAATAGACTTTCTGGAATGCTTTTTCCATAGAAAACCTATTTCTTTTAAAAGTTTCCATAGTGTGCTTTGACTCATTTCAGGGTAACCCTTATCATCTCGAACCGTGGCAAGAACTTTGTCTACTGTCGGAAATTCTTTTCTAAAGAAGAACGCATGCACTTTCCTTCGAAGTCTTTCTTTCAAAAGATTTTCTAATTGAAATTTTGGTTTTCCTGGAGCTTTACGTACTGTTTGAAACTCGCCACATTTCTCTTCTTTAACAACTCTGTAAATCGTAGATTTCCCAACACCAAGCGTACTACTAACTAATTCCACTGTTTCATCAACACTTTTACATAAATGTTTGTCTGTAAATGATTTAAAACAATTATATATTAATGTTTTTTCATTAACTGTTAAAGGACCGATTTTTTGTCGTTTACGCGGCCATTCCAAATTTTCCATGATCACACTAGGATTCACACTGCACCTTGCAATTTGCTACTAAACGACATTTAGTAAACTGTCAAAATACACAACTTGGACCTCCTTACTAAATGGAAAACCTATAATCGCATTTTCGGTAAAATTTGTTGGGAAGGTATTTATCTACTTATAATTCGATTACTGTAAGAAATTCTTGGAATTAAAATATAACAAAATTGGCAAATAAGTACTTATTGAAAATAATCTTAAGATACGGCTATTTTATCTTTAATACACAAGGCTTTTGGCCTGTCCAAACCTTTCTCTATTACTCTGTACAGCTTATGTTTATAAAGGACCAATAAAAGACCCAAAACTTGTAATAGCTCAGGTACATTTATTACAATTTTAGGAAATATTTAGATTATTCTGTAAAAATATTTAAAATGACCGTACTAAGTTTTGCATTAGAAATGCTGTTTTATTACTCTCTCATACATAAAAATAGACTTATAAGAATAATAATAATAATAATAACGATTCACAGCGTGATTGAAAAATAAATCTACTTTTCTCCGAATTGTCGCAAACATTTTTTGAAGATGTTTTGTGAATTAAACTAAATGCTATTTTTATGTACTTAGTCGAATTGGTTCTATTATAAAACTTTCAGTCGTTCCAACTTCACAAGAAACATTGATGCCCATAACCAAGTATATCAGTAATGACCATCTTGCTTGAAAGTACCTGCTCATTGTTAGATTTCCTTTACATACCTACTACTTTTTTCGAGGAGCTCAAACAGTGTTATTTGCAGATAACGTATAAATGGCTATAGCTTCAGGCGATATTTTCTTTTATTAAACTGGAAATGATATTGAAAAATATCAACGTTATGAGAGGTACATTTCTGCATACAACACAATTTTGTAGAATATTGTAATTCCAAATTAAGGAAACCAAATCTATTATCAAAAATAATATTCTACATTATTATTACTGTTATTATAATAATATTAAAATTTGTACAATTCTGAAGAAGTAAATTTGGTTAGCACCGCAATTTATTCGCTAATAACCAACTAGAAAATTTCTAACATTTTGTGATTAAAATTACCTTTTTTGTTTTAATATCTTACTCTACTGATTTCTAATTAATAATACATACAAGTCACGACATTTTACTGGATAAACTACCTATTCAATTTACTAAATTATTTAATTATTAATAAATAATTAATTACATCCTGAGTCCAATAAACTTCTAAGACAAAAGTTGATTATGCAACGTTAAAAATTCAGAAATAATTAATACATTTCATCATCAAAATAAAAGAAATCTTAGTAGGTTTAGGTCTTAGAATTGTTTAGGATTAAAAGTTCAATGTAATTAGACAACACGGAAGAACTAATAGGAAATCTTGAAAAATTTCTAAATTATGAAATTATAAGTATTTGTAAGCGATGCTACTGACATTAAAAGATCGTGATAGTTAAAAAATTTGAGAGAGTTGATCATTATTATAAAATACAAGATAATTGAGAGAATCCAAAAATATTTAATATTCTATATCAATAAACTTGTGTTTCAAAATTTGAGGTTAACGAAAAAACTAAATTAATAATTAGAGAACAATAGTAAAAATTACAAAGAATCTACAGAACATCAGTAAAAATTAACATTAGTAATAATTACATAAGATTAATAAGAATTACAGAACATTAGTACAAATTACAGAATATTATGTTTTTTAGATAAAAGAAACTCAAAATTAATCTCACATAAAAAAAGTTAATGTTAAACGACAACCGGTTAATGTGATAACAATACTGGAAAAATCTCCAAAAGGTTACTACTCAACAACATGTGGGAAAGTTAACAAAAGTATCAATATAGTGGGAAAAAGAAAATTATATTAGTATGTGAGAAAATATGGGAACTTCAACAATTAATATAAAAAACAGCACCAATCCTTAACATCAAAATTAGAGTTGGTGAGGGTAGGAATCAACCCAAAGCATTTGGTACGAAACAAAGTAGTTAGGGACTGACCGAATGCCCTTAGTACAATACCCAAAAGGATAAGTGTGGGTACTGTTAATATTGCCTTATAAATTCACAGATCGAGTAGGTATTCAGGAAAAATGGTTAAACAATTTCTTTTATAAGCATTTGAGGTAAAATGTAGGCAATCATTGAACACTGAGTTAAATGAATCTTCTCGTTAACAACAATTTATCTGCCAGTTGAAATAAAACTACCTAAATCATTTTGTATTCTGGTGGTACCCAATATTATATATTTGTTATATGAAAACTATCAAAGTTCTGCCGAATGGAATCTTACATTTAGTAAAATTAGTCGTAGAAAAAGTATTGTAGAATAAAAACTTATTAATAGTTTTGGATGTAAAAAATATAGTATCTTAGTAGGGTTTTGTTGAATGAGAATTTACATTATTAGAATTAGTCTTAGAAAAAAGTATATCTTAGTATAGTTATTGTAGTAGGGTCTGTGGCGACATTATGTTCCCCACATAACCTTACCTTTTTTAGTTTTGACATATTTGTCATTTCATTTTAAAGTTTTTAAGTCGTTTGTATTTGAGGTTGGTCAAGCGTCGATGTCGTAACTGATGTCATGGTCATAACGTTGTTAAGCCTTAGGTAGATATATCGGCTCGACGTCTTTTGAGGTGTGTCTTAACTGGTCGAGCCTTGACTACCGTGGTCATGGAGTTTTTATGAAAACGAAAAAGAAATAAAAAAAAATAATAATAAACAAGACGACTACAAGTACAGATGAAGAAGACTGTCAATACATTTTAATATTATACTTTTTTTGAGGTCTAAATAAAACTTTATTATTATAGCGAGACGTCTAACTCATATACCAAAACCTACAATTGGTGACCAAGTTAGGAGCAGCACCTTACCTTTTTTATGGAACAGGAATAATCTCCAAACAGAAAAAGGAGAACAGAGAAAAATCGGGGAGTAATATCGGAAGACGACGGAACCCACCAACCAAGATAAGAAATTAACTACAGGACAGGGAATCCGAATCAGCGTCGTCGAAGCTCGGGTCATGCCATCAGACGATGAAGGCTCTTCGTCCCAACCTTCCATTCCATTGCAAGACAATATTTTTTTGAAAGATATTTCAAAAGTAAAACTTCCAGATTTTTGGTCCCATCAACCAGATCTATGGTTCAAATACATCGAAAGTCAATTTTTCATCCACAAGATCAATTCAGAAAAAAGTAAATTTCACTTATCTGTACCACATCTACCAGCAGATATATTCACCAAAGTTTATGACATAATCTCAGATCATCTAGAGAGTAATGCCTTTTCCGTTTAAAAAAAAAACGATTATTAACAGACTTTCACTCTCCGAAGAGAAGAGATTAGATAAACTCCTTTCAAAAGCCAAAATGGGTGATAGAAAACCTTCAGATTTCTGTAGGGAATTAATAAGATTTTCAGGGGATTCCATTATTAATGAAACTTTATTATTAAAAATCTGGAGAAGGAGACTCCCAAAATTTATAGATATATTCTTGACCGTATCTGATAAGGACTATAATCAACGATCTACTAGATACACCTGATAAAATCTGGGAATCGCCTCCGTGGTCCTGCGTTTCTAATTACAATTACAACAAAGACGAAATCAATAATATTACTAAAGATAAGGATAATTCAAATTTGGCCCAAGCAATAAACAATTTAAGCAATAATTTTCAAATTATGATGAAAGAATTTAGTAGAAAACAAGACGAATTAGAAATTAAAATTAATTGTTAGAAAATAAAGGTTTCGATCACATGTCTCGTAGGGATTCTAAACAAGACATTCTTCAGGATCTAGGAGCAGGAATAAACACCCTCGTAAATTCAATAAATAAAATGAACCTACTGATCCCTTATGTTATTATCACAGTAGATATAGAAAGGACGCATTCAAATGTACAGGTCCTTCTTGTTTAATGTACGACTCTTAACATTTCAAATCCAAAAAGAGTAAAATAAACATTAGGTAGCATAGGTGATACATCTTCTAAAAGACTTTTCCTTTTTGATAAAAATAACAATTTAGAATTTTTGGTAGATTCAGGAGCCGATATAAGTGTAGTTCCAGATAGAATTTTTAAGATACAATGGATAAAGATTTTATTCTTTCTTCAGCTTTTAGCAATGCAATTCATACAAATGGAAAAAAAATCCTCAATATAGATGTTGGACTACGAAGATTATTTCTTTTTCTTTTTACCATTACTAATGTAACCAAACCAATCTTAGGTGCTTATTTTTTAACACATTTTGTCCCAATTTTGGATTTTAAAAATTCTAAAATAATCGATAGTAAAACTTCATTAGATTCAATTGGAAAAAAAAATATGCAAAAAATAAAGTCATTTCACCTAAACTATTTAATGTTAATACTGAACATATTGAGCTGTTTAAACAATATCCTGGAATTTTTACTTAATTTTTGTTTATTGAAAGTTATAGATAATATGCATTCGAAATTTTAAGTAATGGTTTTGACGTAGCTGTGTTCTTCTAATTGTAATCAGACCTTACAACATTACTAATGTTATGAGACGAAACGTTGTTACTTATAAAAATATGTATATTTTTCTTATTTTGCTGGATCCCATTTTCGAACTGCTCTTATTTTTTCAATCGTTTTTAACTATCATATTTAGATATTTTGTTATTATACTTTCAGATATTTGCGAAAAATAAGAAATATGTATAGGCGCCAGGGAGTTTACAGTGTATCTTTGACTTATAAGATAGAACTATCATCTCCTAGTAATATATACCGATAGTGATTGAGTTAACATTCTCAGAGTCGATACCTCAGACAGTAATTGAGATAATTTAATCTTATTTCCACTGTAAATATATTTTGATGAAACCGTATATAAGCAATTACTATAAAAAGAGATAGCTTTCTAAAATTGACTCACCTGGTTTGAACGTGATGAGACAAGATCTATTCGTGCACGTGCCCTCTGGAAAGATCAGAATCTGCGGCCAGTCCAAATCAGATGTGGCTCTATTTATGATTTCCTTTATTGTATTATGTCTAGAATTGGGGTCGTCTCTCCACACGTATACTGGTTGAGTAAAATTGATCAATTCTGAAAGACGTAGGATAGAAACTTTAATTGGTATGTTATAAAACATTAAAATTTTAAAAGCAAAAACAAAAAACACAAAAATGTATACAAAAACATGAGTGCTTGAGATGCATAATTAAAAAAAACAATATGTATGAAACATAATTGGAAAAAAAATTAAAAATATAATTCTACAAAAGAAGAAATTGATTACATGTTAGACAAAGAAGAAACATTAGATGACATTAAAGATAGAGCAGCCTACAAGACATAATATTTTGTTTTTAAATATAACCGAAAATATTAAATTTACAAACTCAATTGCAGAATTTCAAATTACCAGATGTCAAAATTCAAACTTTTTCAGGTAATCCATTGGAGTAGAAAATCTTCATGAGTCTTTTGAATGTACTCATTGTAAAAAATACAGAACTATCAAAATCTAAGAAATTTTTTTATTTAAAATATTATTTACTTGGTGAACCATTCCAATTATTAAATAAATTGAAAATTACAAATAATAACGTCAAATTATTTATACATACTTTCATTAACTAATTAAAATTAAAAATATTTACAAATTCATCTAATCTAAGATTTATCACAGATTTACTGTTAAATTTAAATTAAATAAAACATAACTAATAGTATAATTCTTGAAAATGAACTTGCAAAACATTCATTAAAGCAAGTCGTAGACAAAATAAAATATGTGTGTAAGTAAACAAGTAGACGTCCCTAGGTATTATATTATTGGTCGTAATGTTGCAAGGTTATTTATACAGTCAAATTGACACAATATTCTTCAGACTTGATCCCGTGCGACCTTTCCCGAAATGGTTTGATATACAAAAGGTGAGAATGAAATTAATAACATAAAAAATATTTAGATAACGAGTTGCTCGTTACCTATAAATTTGAAGATTATAAGCATACAAAAGTCGGTAAATTTGTAGTGATTGCAAGCTGTCAAAAGTGTCACACAAAAGACGATATTCTTTAACTTACTGTTATTGAAAATGTGTTGCGAACAATCCAATAAATGTAACAGTAATTCTGTGTATATTATTTTGATATTCCTCGTATATATATCTAAAAACGACTTGTCTGTTAATGAAGAGTATGTTGTTTGAAATGAAAATTTGAAGAAAGTTAAATACTTCTCTATAAAACTTAAAAAATAAAACTTAAAAAATAAAACTTAAAAAAATAAACTTAAAATAATAAAACTTAAGAAAACTTAAAAAATAAAATAATAAAATAATAAAAAAAAACAAAAACCTACTTCCGATATGATTATTTCCAGCACTTTCCCTTCTACATATCGTCGAGGGGAATCCCGTAAGATATACGATCCCCGCGTCGATAAATGTCGAATGGGGGGCCGCTACTAAAATAGGGGCTTCGGTTTTCGAGGCCTGCCTCCCCTTTATCGTTATATTCATTCCTCCAGCCATCAGAACATTTTTTCCGATAATGCATATCACGTGCTTAATTTTCCTTGAGAAAATAAAAATAAGAAAATAAAAAATAAAAAAACAAAAATGAAAAGAAAATAAAAAATAAAATAAAGAATTACGTATCAGTATAAGTATACACATCTAATTAAAAGCAAGCAAGTTAAATTATTTGAAAAAAAAAAGGCTGAAATAGTGCAGTGTTAAGTAGGAAAGCTTATAATTGTTTAAATATCTAAAGTGCTTACAAGTAATATTATTATACCTAAAGTACAAATAAAACTAAAATAATTTACATAAATAGAACATTATTTGTTGTGCTTAAAACAATTAACAGATATTTCAATGCATAGGTGAAAGTGGTATTGACGGAAAATAAGAAAAAGCTGAAAATGAATTGAACATACTAGAAAGAAACATAGAAAATGTCATAAGAATATACACTTTAAATAATGAGATAACGAGTACTTATATGTTTATGTTGAGTGCTCCCTAGGCAACCAGTTGACGTCATTTACACGTCAGTATTGAGTAATTTAATGTCATTGACGTCACATGATTTTAAAATGATATTGCACGTTTCATCACCGTTATTATTTATTACTCTTACTTTCAAATAGAATGTAATACATGATTAACCAGTGTGTACTCATCTAATAGCGGCTTGAATAAATGATTAGCTTTAATTAAGTTTACTATCATAAATATAAAAGAAAACAAGAAAACTGACTATCTTCTTGTAATATACATATTAATGACAACTCGTGACGTCAATTTCACGTAGTAAAGTGGCGTCATTCGGCTGTGACTTCAACCAGACATTAATAATGACCACAAAATGACTTGCAAATGTCTTCAGTTAGTTTCCTAGGTCATTAAACTACTACTACCATATTCATTAATTGTTTTGAGCAAAATTTATTGTTAGTAAAAGTGCACGTACTCCCGAAGAGAGGCAAAGCAGATGTTTCTCCCTTAGCCACTATAGAAGGCCCGCCCATGTACACCATAGCTATGCTGTCGATGAAGGACGAGTGCGGCGCTAGCGCCACCACAGGAGCCAGATCTCTGCTCGATTGTCTTCCGATTATTTTCAGATGGAATCCGCTTACCACGAAGATGCTGCGCATCAGTCTGGCGCACATGAAGCGGACTGTGCTGCCCAAAAGAAGTCAAAATATGATTTATAATTATTGTTAAAGTCTTAAATGAAGTTAGGTAGGTATGGTAAGGGTTTAACTAGATGTTCCATCTTTGACTCATCTTTTTAAAGGAGCCGTATTAATAAAATTGTAAAATACAGACGTTACGAGGAGTATCAATGAGAATAGTTTTTCCGAATAATTTTAGTAAAGGAGATATGGGGTTACTAGGTCGCTTTGTTAACATGTCAATTTTTATGTTAACCGAAAGAGTGCTATAGGACTAGAGTAGAAGTTGAAGACATCTCTGGAGACTTAAAGACGAATAAGAGGAACCGAAGGAGAGATTTTGGACCAGGGGAGACGTTAAAGAAGCCTTTGGAGATTCAAAAACGAAGAAGAGGTGCTAAAGAAGGGACGTAGAACTATCAAGTTCTTTTAAGATGAAGAACTCGACGAAGAGAAGACAGAAATATCTTATAATCATGCGGAATAGTTTTGCCATAAAGACAGCTTATATCTTCGTTATTATTAGTTCAATTTAAACGGGACAAGAATTATTCAATATAAAATGTCATTTAGAAGACATTGACAATAACAAACCTTAAAAAAAGATTGAATCGAACCAATAATATCGAATGTTTATGCTAATATGCATGTTTTTTTACTGTAAATGACATCTAAATGCCATTTTACTTGATATAGGCTGGTATGAACTAGAATAATACTGTGGACAGGTTAAAAATGAGTCACCATTCATTCGTACTATGCTCAATTCGTTTTAGAGAGTTGCGACAAGGACCGTCGTGTATATTAATTTCACCAAATGAAATGTTTAAAATTAAATCATTTAGCTAGGAGGTACCTATCATCTTAGGAAGATGCACAATGGGCCTAGTGAGGCCTAAGTGCCATTAGGGCAACCCACTTTCCCCACGTTATAGATACACATGAATTATTGATAGAACATAAAGCTTAACCCTTGTATCTTCAACGTTTTAAAATAAATTGCAGATCAATTTATTTATTTTTTATAATGTTTACGAATACTGCATACAAAATTAGTAAATTCGTTCCTAACTAGCTAATAAATTAGATTTTTAACGAAAATAAAAACCTTATTAAAGAGAGAGAAAGCTATACAACGTGCCTATTTGTTCCTAATTGGCAAAGCCTTACAAGTTATAAGTATCAGACATAATACGATAGGAAATTGGATCTACAAATTAGAACGAAATCCCAATCGATTAGACTGTATTGTTTAATTAAACTAGTTATTGCAAGTGCTCGAATAATACTGATATTAAATCAAATAAATACAAAAGCACTTTATCGATATTAATCTATAAATTGTCCTATTTTTTGGGTTAGTAGGTTTATTATAAAGCTTGTTATACCTAAACCGAATAACTGTTAAACATGAAATATACCAAAAAAGAAAGAACTATTTAAAATCATTTGTTTGTGATACAGATATATCCATTAGAATGTTATAGTCCCGGAGCTAGACCCCAAATAGGTTATGTTTGTTAAGTTTTGTGAATAATAAAACTAAACCTATTGACATAGACAAATTAAAAGATAGTATATTATAATAAATAACAGGAAACCATTAAGGACATAGTTATATTATTTATTTCATTTAAAATAGTAGGTAATTACAAAGCAATAAGTAATTATATAATTATTTATTTTTTACATTTTTTAAAAACAAGTTTTTTATTTGTATTTATTAATTCTATATACCTACATACTGATTGCTAGATCCATGTTTTCAAAAATGATAAATTTCATTTTTTTAAATACGGAGAAAATTTATAATCACCTATAATTAAATGACCGATTTTTGCTTTAGCTGAAAATGAATTATTTAGATTTATAAAAATGATGTATATAAATTAATACCATTAATAAAGGAATGGGCACAGCTTGGGACTTTGCGATTCGGGTTTAAATCCCGTAGTATTTTATGGCGTATATCGTTGACACCTGTGGAAATAAACATTTACCTCTTATACTGATTTTAAAAGAATTTTTAACCCCATAAGATAGAAAAACAAATTGCTCTCATTTTCATTGTTTTACAATATAAGAAATATAAGATACAAATTTAAAAAATAAAATTTCCGGACATCCTGTAAATGTAATTATAATAATTATTATATTATTATAGATTGTGTTTCACTAATATAAATTAAAATTAATTGAAAACTATATTATTATCACCTTAACTACGACTAATATAATTTAAAACATTTTTGAAATGGAGTCGGTAGTGTAATAAAATAAATAATAAATAAAAAACCCAATAAATTGGCAATAAAAAATGTTTGACACGGTAATCAACAAATTTATAAAATAAAAAATTAGTTGTCAATTAAAAAAATTAATTGAGTTCTTTTAATAGTTTTAAAGTGTGGGTTTTTAATATGATCTGATAAAAAAGTATAGAAAGTGCTATATAGGGTGTTCCAATATAATAAATAATTATAAAAGTGACACAAATATTTTAAGCCTTATACATTTTAAGCCTCAATCAACTATACCCCGAACAAGATTGTAATATATGGTATGTATTATCACTTAAATATGCCTAAGCGGTTGGCGACAATGCCAATTATGATAGGAGGAAATAAAGACAAGAGGACACTGCTCGTCGAGCCGCTGAGCTGTATGTTGTTTTATTTACGAACCTAACCTATCACATTACAAAGATGTTTAAAATAAATTATTTGTTTTAAAATGCCCTACATTCCGTAATACATACTCCCCTTTTTTAAATAAATTAATACTCTAATTTTAATTGATTATTTTATTACCAAACAACAAACCAATTTCTCTCAAAGTCATCAATCTCTCCATCTCCATATGTGTTGCAGCATTAATTACAAATTTCAATCTACAGTAAATATCATTAAAAAAAAAACCGAATCGAATTCGTTTAGTATGGTTTAGCTCCGGGACTAATCAACATTCATTCGCTTGAATAAAACCCATTAATTAATTATTAACAACGCAACGGTATGCATTCAAACAGATATAATCAAGAATTTACTTTCTCCATCCTTCTAACGGTTTCTGCCGTAACTCTTCTTCGGTTAGACCCCAGAGACCGACGAAGGCGAACATCCAGCCGAGGCAGACGAAGAAGCAGATGACCGACACTCTGATCGGAAGGAGGATCACCGTGAAAATCGCCGTCTGAAAAGAAGAGATACGTCGTAAAAATTATGTTAAGCGAACAGGTGGATAACAAGTTGTAACATTGACTTATATTCATATAGCACAAGAAATAAAGCTTGCCTATTATTTATTTACATATTTAATATATTTATGTTAGGTCATTAAAAATACAATAAAAACCAGGGAAGAGGGGGAAGCACCGCTTCCCTACACTTTGAAATTTAAAAATAATTATTTTTCAGTTTACAATGCATAGAAATTAATATTAAATTAGGTACTATATTTTCTCTGAAACATTACGTAAACTTCGTAAATGTACTAACAATTCATTGGTGTAATGTGTAAACGCACGCACCACCCATGAGAAAATTAATTTTGTAAACGCACACACCATATACTTCAAGTCCGTCGGCGGAAGCGCGTCTTGAAAAAGCCGGCTCATCTTCCAATTGCTTTCGCTTCATGTTAATGACCCTGCTTGCCCCAAAAGTAGTTAGTCTGTTTGGGCACGTGAAATACGGTCGAGATGCAGAGATTTTTACGTCGCCTTACGCATATTATATTAAAACGATGAAAATTTAACTATGCTATTTGTTACAAAAAAAAACTAATCTTATCTCACTATCTAACAACTCAAAACATTTGGCTATACGAGGTTCATTTAGAGAGTTTATTTTTATTACTTTTACTATTAACACTAGTAGGTTTTACTGATTTGCCATTTCCTTGTACCCCTCTGTCAGATCTTAAACGAATTACTCTTCTATATTTTTCCTCTTCAATTTTCTTCTTTTCTTTATCTTTTTCTGTTTCCGTAATATTGAAGGGTTCTGTTTCCGTAGTATTAGTGGGTTCTATTGATTTTATTTCAGAGATTAAAACTGCCTCTTCTACAAATTCAATTCTTTAGGAGACGGAGTTGTTGGTTAACTGCATATTTTTCTTGCTGGAGGAGGAGAAAAGTTAGAATCTTGATCCAGTTGTTTTAATTCACTTGCAGTGTATGGCACGTCTTCTATGAACAACTTCAGCCCTTTGATGTAAGATTTCTTTTTATTAGTTCGCGCTATTTTTAATTTTTCTACTAATATCTTTTTTTCTGCTCGGTCTTCTTCATCTTCTACAATTATGATAAGACGTTCCCTTAAGATTAGCGTAATTTCTTTCTTTTTCAAAAAAGTTGTTAGAGATAGTAACACAGGACGGTGATTTTGTTTTCCAATTCTAAAAATATTATTTATTTCCCCTACGTGAAAATCAACTATTAATTTTCTATTGATCAGATCCAATACTATATTTATTAGCGTGTGAGAGTTTTCTTCTTCCTGCTCAGGTAATCCATATATTACTAAGTTGTTTTGTTTAAGCTTTCTTTCAGTTATTTTTAATTTATTTTTTATAAATATATGAATTTTATTTTTTCAAGAAATTATCGGTAATACTGTAAGTTTTGCGGACGATACAGCCATTTTCTATGAAGGAAATAACTGGCAGCAATTAAAAAGCACAGTTCAGAATGATTTTACTACTATCGCTAATTTTTTTGAGAGCAGATTACTAACAATTAATTTTAAAAAACTTTCCTTGTCCCTTTTACATCATATAGCAATTACTTACCGCCTTTTAAAGAAATTAATATAAAAATCGAAAATGAAACTATTATTATAAAATCTCACATCTGCGATGGGAAGAACAGATTAACTATATTATAAAAAAGCTAAGATTCGTCTTATATAAATGTAGAAACTTTTCCACTTTCCTCCATGTGAAATATTTAAAAATTCTTTACTATGCATTAGTTGAAAGTCATTTCTCATACGGTATAATAGCATGGGGTGTAGCAGGTGCCACTTTAATTAATAACTTGCAGAAAATACAAAAAAGTATATTAAAAACAATATTTCACCGACCTAGAACTCACCCAACAATAGATCTTTATCAAGAAGCTGGAGTATTAGATATTTATCAGTTATTTTACACTTTACTATCAGTAAGTCATGACCACGTAACTCGATATAAATTAAATAATGTTGTAATACCTAAAGCCAAAAAAACTATGGGGCAAAAAAGTTATGCTTACCTGGGTCCCAAATTATATAATAAAATACCGTTAGAATTAATGAGCATTTATTCCCTAAATCTATTCAAAATAAAATTAAAAAATCTGATGTGTCCAACACATGACTTTCCTATCTAGTTATTACAGGCTTTTTCCGTTTATTGTGTACAACCTATTGCAGCATCTCTATAAATGTTTAGAGGATAAACTAAATATATACATTGTCCACATACATCTACCGCGAAACATTTTTCTATAGATATTCATTGAAAATGAAAATACTGAAAAATTTAAATTTAGCACTTTTCCTACAATTTTTCCATTACGGTCCATTTAAAAAAAATCATGTATGAACAAATATTATAGAGATCGATATCGCAAACAACTTTTATTTCAACAATTTTCATAAAAATCAGAATTTTGCACATTTTGTCAAATTTCTCGAATACGGACCATTTCAGGAAATTTTTACATAAGGCAAAAATTATAGATAATAATATTAGAAGTAACTTTTATTTGAACAATTTTCTTCTCCAAACATAAATAACAGATATATTCCATAAAATATATAAACGGCCTCCCATAAAGTACCCCCCCAGATGTTCCGACTTTGTCCAAAATCTAATCATTTCACGTCAGGCCGAAATAAAACTTAAGTTTAAAATTTATTGATTTTTTCTTTATCCGTTTTTGAGTTTTCTTCAAATTTCGAAATTTACACATTTTCTCAAATATCTCGAATACGGTCCATTTTAGAGAAATTATTTATGGGACAAAAATTATAGAGATTATATTACAAACAACTTTTGTTTGAACAATTTTTATAAAAAAAAATATTTTTTTACATTTTGTCAAATTTCTCGAATACGGACCATTTTAGGAAAATTTTGTAAATAACAAAAATTATAGACAATAAAATAAGAAGTAACTTTTATTTAAAAAATTTTCTTCCCCAAACGTAAATAACAGATATATTCCATAAAATATAAAAATTACCATCTATAAAGTACCCCCCCAGATGTTCCGACTCTGCCCAAAATCTAATCAGCTCATTAGACGCTGAAATAAAGCTTAAGTTTGAAATTTGGTGTTTTTCCGTGTATCGGTTCATGAGTTATGCATTATACAGACACACACACAGACACACACACACACACACACACACACACACACACACACACACACACACACACACACACACACACACACACACACACAGACAGACAGACATCATCGCGAAAATAGTCAAAACGGATTCAGGGGACCTCAAAACGTAAAAATCCGTCGAAAACTCGAGGTCGAAAAAAATCATGATTCCTATACTTTTCTTATATCTGTATACAGATAGGAAAGTAAAAATGGATATATTCTATCCCTACTGCGAACCTGCAACGTTTTATTTCAACAAATAACGAATGTTATAGTCTGGTTTACTAGTTTAATTTAATAATTTGTCTAGAAAAAAAAAATAGTTGATAAAATGTAAATATTAATATTAAATTAAACTTAGTATTACGTAACTGTTTTTCATATTATTCCAAATATTATTTTTGTATAATTTTTAATTTTTTTTATAATATTGTAATATTGTGTTTTATTAAGACTGCTCGTCCTAAATAACCAATAATAACCCATGCTTCTTTTTGTGGGTGTTTCTGTTTATTTATCTCGAACGAACTTACATTGATATTATTATACATTGTTTTTATATTATTTTTGGTAAATAAATTATTATTATTATTATTATATTCTCCTCTTGGAGATTATTGACACGCTTGTTTATGCATTCTATTTCCACCTTTTCGATCTCTTTGACTGATTTAAGCTCCTTTTTGTAATAACGTATAAATATATGCTGTAGAGATTTCTTTACTCCCGCTTGTTGTAGGTGTTGTAGGCAGTGGTAATATTGGGACGTACCCTCGTATATGGGTAGATACATTTATATTTAGCAGTGTACTCGCAATTTAACGATAATCCGTGATTTATTCAACAAATTACTTAATTACTTAATTTGCAAAATTTACATACCAGCATTCGATTCGTCTAAGTTTTCTCTCTTAATCAATAAAATTTACAATTCAAAAAATACACATCTACACATCTTACCTTGACGATGTATTCTTCATATAATTATTTATTTACCAGGCATTTTCACGTAGGTTCTATGAAAATTATGAATGGTTAACCGGCTGCAAAACTTTGAAGAAATTGTTTGGCTGGCCTTGCCTACTTTTTAATATAGCCGAAAAACACATTGGAATTCAGTCGGTATTACAGACTTGAATAATTTTTACAAAAGTGTAAAACGACATGTAAATAGCAAATCTCATATAAGTGCTACAATTAAAGAAAAACATTCAGGACCTATCGCATTGAACATAGTTTGAACAATCATTTAAAAATATGCAACAAAATTCACAATGAAAGGGTAAAAAAAATAGGGACATCTTACAACGATTAATAGATGTAACTTGTTTCCTTGGAGAGCAAGAACTAAGTTTTAGGGTCCGCCAATCGAGGAAATTCATGGACCTTTTAAGTTTTTTAGCAAAATACGATGATACCCTAAAAAATAATTTTATTGATTCGACGACTTTCCGAGGTACCTCAAACAGAATCCAAAATGATTTAATTAAATGCACTGCCGACGTTGTGATGGTTCACATTAAAAGTGAAATTAAAATAGCACCTTTCGTAACAATTGCGCTTGATGAAACCACAGATGTAGCAAATTTAAGTCAATTATCCATTGTTGTGCGATATGTATTGGATGGCATTCCTTAAGAGGGATTCTTAGGATTTTTGGATGTTACTAGCGAACGAACTTGTTTTAGTCGTCAAGTCGTCAAGTTGTATGAATTAGCACTAACCATCCCAGCCACAAGTGCGTCAGTTAAGCGAAGTTTTTTAGCTTTAAAGCGCATTAAAAGTTTTATACGAAATTCAACAAGTGAAG